AGAATAAAATCATGGCATTTGCAGGTAAATGGATGGAGTTAGAGAAAATAATTCTAAATGAAGTTAGCCAATCCACAAAAAAACAAATGGCAAATGTTTTCTCTGATATAACGTGACTTACTCATATTTGGTAGGGAGGGGGAGATTGGGAGAAATAGATGAAGTCTAGATAGGGCAGAGGGGTTGGAAGGGTAGGGAGGGGGCAGGGGGTTAGCAAGGATAGTGAAATGTGATAGACATCATTATTTATAATACATGTATGAAGACATGAATTGGTGTGAACATACTTTATATACAAACAGATATATGAAAAATTGTTTTCTATATGTGTAATAAGAATTGTGATGCATTATGCTCTCATGTATTTAAAAAATAAAAGCAAATAATAAAAAAAAAAAATTAAAAGTGGGGGCGTGGCTACCCTCCCAGCTCAGTCTCACTTACACCCTACTTAGGCTCTCTCACTCAGGCAAGGTCAGTGCTACAGCTCTTTTCTCAGCCTTTTACTGGCTCATAGGGAAAACAATCCTGTTGATGGGCTTTGTTTTTCAAAGTGGGGTCAATTAATGTCTCCTTGAGGTACTGGACATGAAGTCTCAGCAGACCATGTGGCCTGTGCTGTGTGACTGGGCTATAGAAGCAGCACAGAGTATCCCTGGTGAGCACAGCCATGTTCTGGTAAAACCATTCACAAAAAAATTACTGTGATTCTCTTGGCCATCAGGAAGACTATCTGAGATATTAGAATCATGCTTCCTGCAATCTAGGGAAGGTCACACATATGCAGCCAGAACATTTCATGTCACTGCAGTTGATGGCTGGCTGTATTCCCTGCACCACAAGAGGACCAAGATCATTCCTCTGCTGATTATAATGGTGGTTCTACTCGTGGTAATTCATATGGTGGTTTATTTCCTCTCCTATTCTCTTTCCAATCTTTAGGTGGAAAGAAGTAATATAATACAATAAATGACATTTGCAAACACATGTCAGTGACATATAATAATGACATATAATAAATGCCACATAAATGTCAAATGAGCAAACATTAACAGACATGGTAATAAGGATAGTGTGCTGGTGAACAGCCACCTGCAGCTGAAAGATGAAGCAAGCCCCCAATGCCACTCAGCTCATCAAATTAAAAAAGCTTTGCCATATTTCCAGATACTTCATTTGGACAAACAGAGTTCTCAAAGAGACTAGTCCAGTCTGTATTTTCATGTTAGGATACATGATTATAAGTCATTAGGAGGTGGTGCCACAATAAGCTGTAGAAACACCCACAATTTGCAGATATTCAGACAAGTTGTATACTGCTGATCTAACTGTGTGCATGTAACTTGGTTTGGGAAAGTCTAGCATTTTACAATCTAATTATTGTAGGTAAGATTTTCTTCTGATATGCAGGGCCTTGACTTTGGAGTCTGACCTGAAGTCATCCCAGGTCCACTCCTTTCTACAGCACAGATGTTCTTGCAAAGAATCTATTCATTATTTCTTTCATGCATTTACTTATTTACCATTACAGGTTCTTTATGGAGGGCCTGTTTGGTGTCAAGCTTCTCAGCAGACACAGGATAAACAAGGCCTCAAGTTGCTCCCAGCCCAGTGAGGAGACCAGTGTGCAAACTCAAACTTGTTAGCAAAATTAAAAAAAAAAATACTATAGCATTCATTTCTTGAAATGTATACTCATAATTATATGAGATGCAGTTTGTAGATATACATATATATACTACCGTTATATATAATTAAAAAATGATTACTACATCTCACATTAACCACATTTATTTCAAATTAATTTGTCTTTTGAAAACACCAATATATGACACTCTTTGGATATATACATTTGGTGTGTCTTCAAATTTGTCACTTTTTGTATTATGTTCTTTTCTTTATTCTCCTTTTTATAGGATTTCTTTTTCCAAATTATTGAGATTAATGAATTTTAGACACTTCAATTAAACAGTGTATTCTGTAGATTTTCTTTTTAACCTCAGATAAAATACATCCCACTTTTTATAAGCTTATTGTTATGTAAATGACTTCTAAAAACCTGCATGTATAACATCCTAAGCTGACTTTACTCTGGACTATTGATATCTGAGTGGAGGGGATCTCAAAGTAATCCATGGAAAAGGCAGAACTGGGATGGGTCAGGATGTGAGATTGGTGGATGTATTTGTGAAATTAAGGTAGAGAAAAAAAGTGCTGTGAAGGAAAGAGGGAAAGAATGACCAACTCAAGGGTTCAGATTTAAAAAGTCTAATGGTGGATCAATGGTAGCATGAGGGCAAGGGGTAGTTTCTTTGGAGGCAGAAATAAGGTAGAAAAAAAAACAGAAGGTAACTCTGGCACAGTCCCCAAGAGAAAGAGTCAGATGAATGGGTTATGTGTTTATTTCTTCCCTCCTTAGAGTGGAATTGATAATTCATAGTGTATGTTTCAGTAGGTAGTATAATACCATTTCCAATTAGCTTTACCAATTTGTGTGGCCACAATCAACCTTTGACAATTCCAATCACATAAAATCTTTGTACTTTTTCATATTTTATTTATTTATTTATTTATTCATTCATTCATTCCATTTTTTTTTTTTTATTCAGTTTTGCTTTACTGTTGTTGTGTATACACTCCTGGTGAGTATACAATGGTACATATATATAACTTCTATAACATTAGATTAAAGTCAGCCAGCCTCAGCAACTTAGTGAGGCTCTAAAAAAATAAGCAAAACCCTTTTGCTTTATAGAATATTTTATTAAAGGCTGAGAGTGTTTCATAGCAAAAAAAAAAATCATATCTGATTTCAATTTGTAATATGAGAGAGAGAGAGATCTTGCAAAAATAAAAAAAGTAATCAGTGACACTCTTAGTGTCAAGGATGTAAATAATTCAAAAGTAATAGTGAGCTAGTTGGAAAACTCATCTAGGTTATTAACTGCTTCTTGGGGAAGTTAGTCTGCTCTCCAATATATAAAAGTGAGAGAGGAATTCTTTATTAAGTTTTGTATAAGAAAAAAGAGGAGTTTTGACACAGCTGTAAGTTGGCCTAGACTGGGTCAACTTTAGTGGGTGATTAGGGTTCTGCTAAGATGATAGATCCTTGAATTATTTGGAATAATGTGATTTTATCTAGTCTAAATAAACAAAGATAAAGGTCTAATATAAATCATGCTTGGCCAAGGAAAAAACATTTAAATGAAAAGTAAATGTACGAATAAACACATAAAACAATATTTAAGAAAAAGTTAACATTCAGAATATTTATGCAATTATATAATCACCAGTAATGTAAAAACAATGACAACTAAAGAAAAAGTGAATTAATAAAGGAACAAATAAATAATGGAATAAATAATTAATAAATGAATAACTAAAAAGTGCAAAGATGTAATATGACTGGAATTGTCAAAGTCAGCTTGTAGCCATGACAAAGTGTAAAGGTACATGGAAATGCTGTTTTACTACTTACTGAGACATACCCTGTGAACTATAAATTCCTCTCCTAGGTGGGAAGAGTTGAACTCAGAGCCCACTCACCTGGCTCTCTTACTTGGGAACTGTGCAAAAAATTAACTTTTTCTTTCCCCCAAAATTTTATTGCTGCTTCCAAGAACACTACCCCTCTACATTCATACCATCATTGTAGACTTGTAGCATATGAACCCCTCTACTGCTCAAGTTTTTCTTTTTTTTTATTGCTCTTTTTCTCCCTACTCACATATAATCCACCAATACTTATTTTGTAATGCAAAATCTACATACTCAGCAATCTCCAGTCTTACATCTTACTATATCCATTTCCTGCCTTGTGCATGACAATTTTGAGATTCCCCTCCATCAAGACATCAATAGTCCAAAGTGATCAGTATTGGGGGTAAAATATGAAGAATATTAGAAGTCAGTCACACAATAAGAAAGCTATAAAAAGTGGGCTTCATTTTAAGGGTGAAAATAAAAAGAAAATCTATAGACTTCACTAGTTAAAATAAAGGATCCAAAATTTATGAATCTCAATAATTTGAATTATATCTGTGAGTCATTTTTTTGGGGGGGAAGGGTATGGGGACATTGCTAATGAGTTTAAAGCTCAAACTGTTTTTTATGAGACAAAGAACAGAAAAGTTAAAAAAATATTAAAACTGATATCATTTTCATAAATAAAAATATAGACATATTTATTCAAAAATTGCTTTAACCTTATAAACAGTTATAAGTGTCAATGCACTTCCCTCTGGGATATGTCCTAGTATTGGAAGAAAACTTTGCCTTAAAATAACCGCATTCGCTGACCCTATAATAAATAATAATAATAATAATAATAATAATAATAATAATAATAATAAGTGATGTGGGGAGGGTTTCAGGTTTGTGAAGCATACCTGTAATATAAGTTACTTGAAAAGCCAACATGGGAGAATTTTATTCACTGTCTGAAGACATATATGTATAAATTATATATAAAAATGTTTATGGGTTCTGTAGTGAAGGGGCACAAGTCCAATACACAGTCTTTATTTTTTAAAATTTTTTTTTTTGTTGTAGATGGACACAATACCATTTGTAGTTTGTTTGTTGGTTAGTTTTTTAATGTAGTGCTGGCTGTTCAACCCAGTACCTCACCCATGCTAGGGAAGGGCTCTACCCAAAAGTCCTTTACTTAATTAATTTTTTTTTTGGCGGGAGTGTATGTGTGTAGTTCAGGGGATTGAATCCATGGCCTTATATAAGCAAAACAAGCACTCTACTGACTAAGCTATATCCTCAGCCCTGATCTGTAGTCTTTTAACAATGACAGTGGAGCAGCCTGTCATTCAGCCTTTGATTCTGCACCCACTTGGCTCAGGTTGGAGGCAGTGCCTGAAGCCTTGACCAATCAGTCTCTTAGGTGAGAAGTGTCCAATCCTCACGCAGCCGGTGATGAGGGGGAGGGCTTCCATAATCTTCTGTTCCCTTCCTGTCTGGAGCCCGCCATTTTTTCAATCTTTTTGTAGGCTTTCTATGCTGGATCCGGAGCCCAGGTGTCTATGCTATGCAGAAACTGAAAACAAATCACAGGGAGAATGCTGAGAACCCTGAAAGCCAGGAAATGGTAAGTGTGCCTTGTTATCTTGAGACTGGGTAGGAAGGTGGCTTAAACTGACAGGAGTGGCAATGGTGGAAACTGGCAGTCATGGCTAGGGACTCCTCATGGTCCTCTCCAGAGTCTTGTGGCCAGAGGGTCTCTCTGTGGTAGCTTAGCCTTCACCTGCCACTGACTAGTATAGTGAGGCTTATATCGGCAGTTGAAAACCTGGGCATTTTGTTCCATCATTATAAGGTGTTTTCAGCTTCTTTCTAAAGCCCTTTGTGAGCTTCCATGTGCCATAAGTCCAGCATGTCTCCAGATTGTGTAATAAAGACTGAGATAATTATCAGGAGAGAACCCCAAATCCATTTGTTGTAATCATGCATGAGATAGGCTGTTGATTTTAGGGCTTGTTACTCATGTGGGTTTGTTTGTTTGTTCGTTTATTTATTTAATTTTTTTTGTGTGTGTGAGTGTGTGTGTGTGTGTAATCTTATATATTACCTAATTTTTTTGGTAATGGCTGTTTGAGAATAAAATGTCTATTCAATGCAGATGACCAATTTTGAGTATTTAACTTTATGTTGTATACTGAGCACATTAACTGTAAACAAAACAATATTTAATGCATATTAATATGAGAGAGGCTAGATCTTTGTTTGTTTCTGTTTTAAAAGGCAAGTATTAGGATACAATTTTCTCACTCAACAAATCTTGTCCAAAAGGATTATGAGAAATTTCATGATTTAAAACTGTATCGTATTGATTAAAAATTGTGTAAAAAGATGATATATAAAGGAAGGGGAATTATCCATCTTTAAACCAATAGGGCCTCTAGGAGCAGATCATGCCTGGTTTCTTTCCATGCTCTCTGCTGGAACTGACTTGGCAGTTTCTTTTTTTAGATTCAATCTTGTTAGTAATTTTTTTCTTTTGTTTTGTGTTGTGCAATAATGCATTGATAATAATAAATATTTTGAAGTGAAAAATTCATTACACTTCTACTTTGTAAGTTGTTTTCTATATTTCTTATTTTCTATTTTGATTAATGATTTAATTTCTGGATCATTGCTTTTTATTGTGGCATGCTTGGATTCTTTTCATATATATATATATATATATATATATATATATATATATATATCCCACTTCTCTTTATATATCCTTTAGGTTTTTAATTTTTACAGTATTTCACAAGTTGCTTAGACTTGTCTTAAACTTTGTCCTGCTTGATAAGTCTCTCCCATATTGGTAGAGTTTCAGCTTTGCACACTAGGAATGCTCCTCTCATTTTTTCCTAAAGAATTATTCACATACTCAATTTGTGATTATTTATATTAATATTTTTGTCTCAATTTCACCCTCTAAACTTTCTATAAATAGTTATTTAGTGTTCTTTGAGTAATTAATAACTGCCAGTATCCTAATTTTCAGTTCTTAATTTTGTTTTTCTTTTTTGTCACTTGGATTAAGCCATACTTCTCTTTGTTTATATTTGCTGTATTATTTTTATTTGTCCATTAAAGGAGCCAACAGTAGATTGTATAGTCCATTTTGGGAAAAAAGTAAGAAACTTTTAAATAAATAAAAATAGGCAAGAAAAGTGCTGCATCCTTGTACTATTTGCTGATTGGGAGGCCATGAAAAGTATTTCATGTTTGAGGTAAGTCATAGAAATTTAGAAACAGCATGACTCAAACAATGTTTAAAATACTTGTGTTGTAGTTCAGTGATATAGTATTTGGGGAGTTAATCTCAAGCACCACACAAAAAAAATTAAAAGTTGGATGACATAAAGATCCAGAAATGCCAGTGCTAAATATGTATCCATGAAAAATTAAATCAGAAAATTGAAGAGATACCTCTGCTTTTGTGTTTAAGGCACACATTGTTCTCAGTATTAAAGCTAGGGACCCAATGTATGTGCCCATCAATGATCAAATGAGTAAAAATATTGTACTTATATACTATTATTATTTAGTTGTAAAAATATTTTGTGTCTTAAAGTGTTATAAGAAATGTATATGCACGACTTTGCATTAAGTGAAATGTAGCAGGCAGAGATTAAGTTGCACGAGCATTTGATTCACATGTGGAAGTCAGAAATTTAGTGAGTAAAATTTTGCTCACCAGGTACTGTGTTTTTTGTAGGGTTGACATTATAGTCAAATTCACATATTTGTATTTTATTGAGCATAAGAGGGTCAAGAGTTTTGTTTTACCACATGGTGAGTGTATTATGTTCTTCATAAATGCTAATAGAAGGAATACAATACCTTGTAAGAACAAAACTGATAATTATATAAAATAATGATTGTGTTAATTTATCCTTTTTTGTGTTAATTCATTATATTTAGTCATTTTACCTTGTATATATAGTATAAAATACCATGATATATTTAGGAAATAAACAAACGTGTATTTGTCGATGAAAGAAATCATCATATCACATGAATTTAAAAATATAAAAATCAATTTATTATACTTGATTGTTATGCATTGATTGGTATTGTTTTTTTTAAATATTTTTGTTTATTTCAGCCATGACTCCTCATGATACCCAAGATTATTCACCAGAGAAGGGCATAAAACATATATTTCACAAAGTGATAAGTGGGAAATATAGAAGTTGTGATCCTGACTATTTACAAAACTACAAGTGAGAGTGAACACCAGAAATCATAAAAAATCAGGCCTTGTTCACCACCAGAGAATTTATACTGGATAGAAGCCCTACAAATATAAACAATTTGGCAAAGCTTTTAGTAAAAAAAAAAAAGAGAGATCTTATTTACCACAGAAGAAACCACACTGGAGAGATGCCTTACCAAAGGGCAGAATGTGATAAAGTTTTTAAAGAAAAATCAATCTTTATTAAGCAAAGCAGAATTCACACTGAAGAGAAGCCTTACAAATGTGAAAAATATGGTAAAGATTTTAGTCAAAAATTAAACCTTATTTACCAAAGAAGAATTCACGCTGGAGAAAAGCCCTACAAATGTAGAGAATGTGGCAAAGCTTTTAGTCAAAAAACTGACCTTATTAGCCACAGGAGAACTCACACTGGAGAGAAACCCTACAAATGTAAAGATTGTGGCAAAGCTTTCAGTCAAAAAGTAGGACTTACTTACCACAGCAGAACTCACACTGGAGAGAAGCCCTTCAAATGTAGAGAATGTGGCAAAGCTTTTATTCAAAAAACAGACCTTATTTGCCACAGCAGAACTCACACTGGAGAGAAGCCCTACAAATGTAAAGAATGTGGCAGAGCTTTCAGTCAAAAAGTAGGCCTTATTTTCCACAGCAGAACTCACACTGGAGAGAAGCCCTACAAATGTAAAGAATGTGGCAAAGCTTTCAGTCAAAAACCAGACCTTATTCGCCACAGCAGAACTCACACTGGAGAGAAGCCCTACAAATGTAAAGAATGTGGCAAATCTTTCAGTCGAAAATCACACCTTATTCGCCACAGCAGAACTCACACTGGAGAGAAGCCCTACAAATGTAAAGAATGTGGCAAAGCTTTCAGTCAAAAAACAGACCTTATTCTCCACAGCAGAACTCACACTGGAGACAAGCCCTACAAATGTAAAGAATGTGGCAGATCTTTCAGTCGAAAATCATACCTTATTTGCCACAGCAGAACTCACACTGGAAAGAAGCCCTACAAATGTAAAGAATGTGCCAAAGCTTTCAGTCAAAAAATAAGCCTTATTCACCACAGCAGAACACACACTGGAGAGAAGCCCTACATCTGTAAAGATTGTGGCAAAGCTTTCAGTCAAAAATCACACCTTATTTGCCACAGCAGAACTCACACTGGAGAGAAGCCCTACAAATGTAAAGAATGTGGCAAAGCTTACAGTCAAAACTCATCCCTTATTTGCCACAGCAGAACTCACACTGGAGAGAAGCCCTACAAGTGTAAAGAATGTGGCAAAGCTTTCAGTCGAAAATCATACCTTATTTGTCACAGCAGAACTCACACTGGAGAGTAGCCCTACAAATGTAAATAATGTGGCAAAGCTTTTGGTCAAAAACCAGACCTTTTTAGGCACAGCAGAACTCACATTTTCTTCTGGTGGAACTCTACTTTCTTCTGGTTGAATATCTTGAGCCCAAAGATATGTAACCTGGGAGCTAAAAGAAGTATGACAAATGAAGAGGTCCTTTTTGCATAAGGCAAATTGCACTTTTTGTATTTGATTTTTCTGCTTGTGAAGATGTACACTTCTCTACCTACAATGGTATTATGATTGATGGTGACTTGTGTGAATACATGAGGCTTAAAATGCAGCTACATGATTTTGAGTCCTTTCCCTGGTAAAAAATACTATAATTTGTACTCTAATAGGAGACTCAAAATGGTGCAAGACAAACCTATCTTTTTTAATCTGCCTCTTTATTCATGGTATTCTAATGGTTTTGATCTAGTCAGTTCAGACCATTTCTGATTAATGGGTATCATCAAGATGTAGCCATGTATTCAAATTCCCTCTGTGATCAGTAGCAATTCTTCCCATTAAAAATCAAAACATTCTCATAAAGTCTTTGCTATATTTTAAGGATCCACTCTTGCTTTTGCTTTACTAAACAGAATCAATTCCACATAGTTGAGTCCCAAAGTAAATGGCAATACATTAATCTAAGCACTGTGAGGAATATAAGAAATACAAAATATCACCTTTGAAGTATATATTAAAAAAAATAAGAATCATAAATACTAAGCCATTACCATCTAAACTATACCAGGGCTTTTAAAATGTAATCTTAGATGTTCTACTCACTCTCATAGTAAGAGGCCTTAGACTCAAAGTCATTTTATCTTGTTGTTTTAGTCTGTTTTATAATGCTATAGAAAAATACCAGAAATAGGCCAATGTATAAAAAGAGATATAAATGCATAAATTTATATAATCTATACAATATGGTAAGTGGTTTTTCATGTTTTTAGCTACAACTTATTGAATATTATAACAATCTTACTATGTGGATAAGATGTGGGTATGATGAACCAATAATAAATAAAAATTGCATGCTGCATTGTTAGTAATTCACCAAACAATTTTTTCAAAAACAGACACTCTGATGTGTGGTTTTTATCAACTATTTTATTATGAATGAATGAAGTTAAGTAAATGAATAATTGGAACTACATACTTGCTTAGGGTGCCTATAATTCATTGTTAAAAAACCTTTAGCTATATAAGATTTTAATACTGTATCTCACATTGTGACTTAATGGAATTTTGATTAATAATGCTGAAATCTTTCATTGAATCTTATATCAGTTTATGAAATAAACATGCTATATGTGATTTCCTCAATTCTAAGTGTCTTATGTTTTAAGAAACTGTAAGGACAATTCAAATTAAGGTTAACATACTAATACCAATAGCAGAAGCACCACAGGAAAAATGAAAACAAAGAATTGGGAGGTTCCACCATTATAGATGTAATTTTCTCAACATCTTTTCAATGTACCTAACCCAGTATTAATACCAAAATTAATGAGAAACCTCTTTTCATGATGAGTGTGCATGATGCTATTATATAAAATGAAAACAATTGCAAATTTTTCATAGATGCATTTTACAACATTAGTTGAAAATACAATTGATTGATCAGTATGTCACTGTGTTTGACCACAGCAAATACCTTTTCAGTGTTCAAGATAAATGGGTAAATATATAAAAAAAAAAATTCAAGTAAAATCCATGTTAAACAATAACAACTATTTTTTCATAAGGAAACTATCAGTGTTTTTTTGAAACAACATGACAATAAACTGTGCCTTATCACATGAAGGAAAGCAACAATTCTTCATTTTATTATTTGAATATGCAAAGTATTCTTTGGCAAACTGCCACATATATTGTTTTAATTTCACAGGTGTGAATTATATCTGATTTTCTCTAAATTGCTACTTATTTAATATAAATTTGTTGAGAAATTATTTCTGCATGTGCTGATTAGTGAAATATAGTGAGGAATGGAAGTCATTTAAAGCTCTATGAATTGCAATCCTAGAATGGTAGGAGGGAGCTGTATATAATCATAAGAAACATATTGAGTAATATTAATTTGTTCCAGATATTTATTTCCCTTAGCATCCACTTTTCACTATACTAGTGCTTTTAAATTGAGCTATTAAATATCATAGGAAAAGCCATCAGAACAATCAGAATAAGAAATTTAAAAGAGAAACAATAAAATCATAAACATCTGGTTGAAACAACTAGCCAACTGTTAGATCTTAGCTTTTGACTTTTTCCTCCTATTTTCTTTTGATGATGACTAAGAGGAAGGTACTTATATTAAGAGCATGACCAGAACAATTTATGGCAATTTGTTTTTCTAAACATATATAACATTGACTTGCTAACTCAGAATACAATCTATTGAGTATATCTTTTTATGGTCAAAAAATGTATAACTACACAACATAAAGATTGGCCTTTTGAAAAAAAGAATGTGATGGTGAAAACCAATTTGGAAAGGTAATATTGAATATTTTATTTCAAAGAAAAGGCAGGAATATTTAAAATAGTTTTGATTATTAGATTCATGTAAAAAAATAAATTGTAGTATTCAGGCCTGATGTGGTGGTACATACCTGTAATCTCAAAAATTATAGAGTCTGAGGCAGAAGGATCACAACTTCAAGGCCAGCCTTGGTAACTGAGACCAGGTCTCAAAGTAAAATATCAAAGAGTTGTGAATATATATGAATGACAAAGCACCCCTGGGTTCAATCCCCAGGACTATATAAAACTATAGTTTCCAAAATTTACACCCATCAGCAGCCTCTGCTCTATCTGCAACTATGTAAAGTTCTAAAAGGAAACTAAATTTAGCCATACCTACTACTAGTTGTAAGATATTGACCATAATTTTGAAATATATACATAGAAGACCCTTTACAATGTATTAGGTGTTCCCATTATTTTTTGCAATTGCAATGAGAGAGGGAGGAAAACCAATTTAGCTTATGGGGCCACTTCTTTCTCTTCAGCACTAATGAGTTCAATATTAAAAGGCTTTTGTGTTTAATTGATTATCATTTATGCAATCATAATGATAATGTTCTGTGATTTCCTGCTTAATCTACATTGGACACTTTATTATTTCTGAGTATCAGCATCTGTACAGACCACTACACCCGACTCTATTATTTAATAGTTACAAGTCCCTGTGTTCATGCTTCATCAGTTAGTTATTCTCTTTTAAAAATAATTATGTGTTGCATTCTTTGTCTACAGAAAATTTATGAAGGTTAAAAACCAGTAAGCATTTTCACAAATTTGACTTTAAAATAGTTTTCATCGCTAAACACACACCAGAAGTAAGAATGATTTCTTTGTCTAATTTATTAGCCTTTCTAACATCCAATATCAGAACATGAAATCTGCTCATGGAGGGATGTTCTTCCCATCAAGAACAATCAATACTATTTTCTTCTATCCCATCAAATGTTACAAAAAGTGCACATTTTACTGTGTTTCATATGCAGAACTTGACTTTCCATTATTTTTGTTTAGTGGGTTTTTACTTTCTTTTTCATCACTTTGTTTTTTCTGTATTTTCTAATCTAATATTCATTTTTTTGTGTGTGTGGTGAGAAAAATAGAACACTAGAATCTTCTAACTTTTCCTACATTCAATCACTGACTACTCACTAGCTAATATTTCTATTAAACCATCATTTTAAATGTAGGACTGAGGTATGCTAACAAAACAATTTTCAAGATCTACTGCAGAACCAGCATAACTTTCTTGAGCTCTGTAGTTAGAGCCACTGTTTCTGTCCACAAACTCTGCTCCCTTTGTTTTATTTTTCTTTATATTGAATAACTCTCTTTGAAATGAGGCACAGAAAACAGCTTTTTAGAATTTTATCATATATGAAAATATTTTTATTCATCATTAAAGGACAATATGCTTCAGTTTAGAGTACCAGGTTGAATACTAGTTTTCCTTTAAATCATGAGGTTATTCTGTATTTATCATCTATAATCCATCATTAGTGATAAATACTTGGGTTCTATTCTTGCTTTCTTGAAGCTGACCATGTTTTTTCTTTTCAGGAAATTCTCTTTGTTTTAAGCATATCTACTTGAAAAATTCTGGAGATATATTTAGCATATTTAAATTTTATTTTCTTGATTATAGCATTCAATCAAAATGGAATATTTCCAGACCTGATCTTCTTTCCAGTATATACATGTAGGAAACTGGGTAAAATATGGATAATAATATGTCTGTTTTTTAGACACCAAAAACAGGCATAGCAGGTGAGTGAAACCATAAGCAATAAGTACAGACTGGTGAAGTAAACTATAACTTTATTTTTAAAATTGTTCTTAATAAGTGCAGTTTGATAAAATGCTGTTAAAACTTATGGGTAAAGGGAAGTAAGAATAATCAAAGTATACCACTGTAAGAAAAACATGAAATCTGGCACCTGAGAGCAAAGTGTGGGGGAAACTTCATTATGATAGGAAAGAATCCCTCACTTTCCCTTCACCCTCTCACCCACTTAACCTCACCAGAAATCACCAAGACTCTTAGAATAAAAGGTTTTAAGTTCAATAGTCACACTCTCTTCAAATACAAAAAGAAGTTAAAATTCAACTGAACACAGAATCTTGTGTGCAAAGGTACAGGGATCTGAAACATCATATAAAAGATAATTCTGTGTTGTTTTTTTTTCATTTTTTTTTTTTTTTTTGTGTGTGTGTTTTGTTTTGTTCCAAGGGTGTGGCTATTCCTTGGTCACCTGAAATCAGCAAAGAAACTATTATTTTGATGAAGTATCAGTGAAGTATCAGTGGCTGACCCACATTAAATACAGACAAATGTTAAAAAAAAATTTAAAAAGCCTAATTATGAAAAAATATGTTGCTGCTTTCTCCCTCCACATTTTTCTTTTTAAAGTTTTTTTTTTTTTGTCTTGAAAAATAGTAAAAAATTCTGGAAGACTTTACAACCAACTGCATGAGGGTCTGGGAAGCTGAGAGGCTGGAGCAGGGCTGGGAGGAGCAGACAGGAAGGGGTCTTTCCCTTAGTTACTGGAGGCCAAGTATAATTAAAAAGAGACAAATCAATAAGTGTTTGTAAACCAGGAAATGATACAGATTATCAAGTTATTATCAGTTATAAAAAAATTATATATCAAGAAAATAGAGAAATCATGAACAGGATTAGAAAAAATAGGTGTAAATTTTATTTTTAGAAATTTATTGGTGATACATAAAAATAAAGATGAATTTTATATTTTGATTTTAAATGGAAGGCAGAGAGATAAGCAAGTCATATAGTACTTCAAAAAACTTACTTAAGTTACAAAAATATAATCAATTTATAGCTTCTACTTATTTTATTCTCTATCTTCCTTGGCATTTCCACTTGTAGAGTGTGACCAATAACTAAGCAAATAACTAACCAAGAAGATAGTCACTGATGTTATACTCGTTCTCAGAAAACACAAATCAATTTCAGAGCAAAGAAGTGATACAACACCTATTCATTTTTTTTTCTTTGGAAAAAGGTCCCTTTTTTGAATCAGATAGAAGAGGAAATTTGTCAACCTTTATCAAAATGTTACTAGAAATGAGTATGGGTTAGCTTCATTTAGAAGTAAACTGAAATAAAATAACACTATTGCACGGTGTCTTTCAGGGTTAGCCGTGGGGGGGAAAAAAAAAAAACTTTTTCCAAAGAGCAGAATACTTGGCAGCACACTTCATCCTTAATTTCATGTGGAAAAAGAAGATAACTCAGGTAAGAAGGTACATAACTAACAGGAAGACATCAAGACTTGGTCAAGGGTCTAGAAGAAACTTTTGAAGACTATAAAATTTGAGGGGTACAGTAACCAGGATGGATCTCTGAGAGAGACAACGCAGTGTAAATATCACGGAATTTTATGCTATCACATACCAAAACTCATGGACATTCTAGAAGACAACCAAGTTGACAACTTGACTTGGCTCATTGTTTTATCCAGCCTCGGATGATGCCCAGGATGAATGAGGACTGAGTACCACAGTAGTTTCCAGTCACTGCATTTTATCTATCAAATGCTTCTTCCAAATATCCAGCCAGCCAGGAGGAGGGGTCTATCTCTAGGTTCTTGTTACAGCATCATCTTTTCATCATTCTCTCATAATAAATTAACAAGTGGACCTCTTTTAACACAGAAATAATTTTAACCAGAAAAACTCAAACATTTTTTTTTTACATTTTGCTTTTACAGACAATAAATGCTAAGCAAACAGCACTAATAAAGTGCCAATAGATCATGCCTAAAATTGAATCAGACCAC